TACCCCTTATAGCAGAAATTCATATTAATCCATACTAATATTATAAATCTGAAGGTAATTCTGTCTGTCTGTCACCTTTTCACATCTAAACCGCTGAACAGGTTTTAATAAAATTTGGCACAGAGATAGCTTATATGTTGGAGATGGACATAGGCTACATTTTACTGCGAGAAAATATCTTACTCCCACAAGAAAATTTGATATAATGCGGGTTAAGCTGTGGGTTGTGACAGCTAGTGATAAATAGAATAAGTTTTTTTTACATTTATTACCTTTAAAATACTATTCTAATAATAATGAAAATAACATAAGGTTATTTAATTTTAATGTGACAAATGTCTTTTAGGTCATGATAAATGTCTTTTAGTTCAGCTCAAAAATTACTCAGTGATTGCTCTGCAAAACAACTCTTGAGTCTGCTGTTGCATAAAATGTCTATTAATTCCTCTTGGTCAGAGATGGAAAGATGGTCGGTGAAGTTATTCGCAACAGCGACAAAAATTTTCAAAATTAATTTCATGAAAACAAATTGTGTTAATTGTACAATTTTTGTTTCTTGTGTAAGAATTTCATGTAGGTATTGTCGCAAATGCATTTTTTTTTTTTATAAAATTTCGAGAATATTCTTAGTTATAAATAAACAAATTTGTGCATTAAGACATCATGTTGTAAATTGCCGAATTTTTGATGGTCCACCCGTTATTTTTTTATTGCTTCATCTCATGCATTTAAATTTTAAATCGACCGATTTTAGATTGCCTTTATGCAATTTCACATACCCCCAGGGTTATGCTTACCACTAATTGGGAACCATTGGTCTAAAGCCAAAGGATTGTTAAATTATATTGGGCTGTATCAATGCTGCTATTAATAATTGAATGCTAATTAATTTCGCCTAGAGGTGGGTGTTAGACACCAATTCTAATGAATCTTAATGCCCACCTCTAGGCCAAATTACTTAGCATTCAATTATTAATAGCAGCATTAATATAGCCCAATATAATCCAGCAAATCGTTTTGCTTTAAGCAAATTTCGCTTTTAAAAAGTTAATACGTTTGAAATTAAATCAGCCAAAGAGAATGCCATTTGACTGTTTTACTATACAAATTCTCCTTATAGTCTGAGGGGTAATTTCACTTCCAGATACAGAGAAAGAATAAATTTTCAGAATTTAAAGAGTTAAATGTTTGTTACCACTGTCTGAAACCAATGTTAAATATATAATTATAACAAAAGCATAAACTTATAAACCAAAGTCATTTTTTTAATTACCTCTCTTACAAATTCATAAACTCTATTTTTGAATTCATTTGGACGCACAAGTAACATCTGAATAATGAAAAAGCATACTTGCGCTTCATTCCCTTCAAAGCTACGAAGGGCCTGAAAGAAATGGGAAAAATTAAGGGTATGCAGTTTCAAAATAATGTTTTTTATTTCAAACTTTATCTTAAATGAAAAATTTTTTAGAAATAAATCTAAAACTCACCAGACACAATATTAATCTATCAAGTGTAATTACATGGCATTTCCAAATTAAATCATTCAAAGCATCAATACACTAGAATAATTAAAATTAAATTACTATTTTTTTTTTCAATTTTAAAACTATATTAGAAATGTTTTTATTTAAATATTTTTCATACCTTGTTGACATGTTGACCACCAACAGAATTAGCAAATTCAAATACTAAAAAGTCTGCAAATGTTCGAAGATGACTCGACAAAGCTCTTGCACCAATACGGTCCAAAATTCTGTGGTAAAATATTTTTAAATGTTCACACTTATTTACTAACAGTAAATAATCTAGCTTTCATATTTAAAACATTCTAAAGTTAATATTGAAAACAAAAAATTCCAAGTTTAACAAAATATAAATTTTGTACAGGAAATTAGGAGAACTAACTTGTAAGCAAGGGGACTGATGCGATCATTTTCAAGTAACATTTTCCAAAGTAAACTGAAAATTATAAATAAATAAAAGACTAAAATTTTTGCTTTAAAGTAAAATTAAATGAATTAAAATAAACTTACCATAAAAATAATGGCGAAGAGCCTTGCAATGAAAAATGAGAAATGATGTCATTTTCATTACTCATAGCTGAAATAATATTTAATAAATTATTAAATGTATTTAAACTCATTCCATTAAACTATAAATTTATATTTTGTTTTTAGTATTGTCTGCTTCTGAATTTAAAAATTCTCAAAAATTTGTAAATGATACAAAAAAGTCAATTTTACTAATTACATTAACTGTATATATTGATAATACTCATAAAATTAATTGCAGCACACTTTGCAAGTGTTTTTATTAAAATATATAATTATTAAAAACACATTGCATTATGTATTTTAACAAATATACATGATTTAGTTCTAAATTTGTCCAAGTTTAATTCTATATTATTTTCTTTATTAAATTTATGTAATTCATTTATTAGTTTCTGCAAGTCAAGAAAAGAAAAAGTTAAAATCATTAAAATTAAAATAACAAAAATATTGTACATGATCATTTACACATTTTAATTAAATCCTCTCAAAAACTGTGACAGATTCTTTTTGATGTTAAGTTAATATGGTGAATACAAAAAAAAATTAATTAAAAAAGAACAGAATATCCAAATTTGTGGAATTTTATAAAATATGAATATGATTAGCAACTTCAAATGTCTCCAAACCAGACTTGGTGACATTTGAACAGCTAAATCTCTTTAAACAGCATCAGATACTTTAGTTACGGTCACTGAATATTTAAAGAATACTAATAGCATATAATCCAAGCATTTCCCAATCACATGTGTTTTTAAATAGTAAATTTTCTTTTAAATGAAAAATGAAAAAAATCCAAAGATCACTTCATAATTGAAGCAAGTAAAANCATGAACATGAAAAGCTTTGAAAACGATACTTACCACATGAGGTACACAGTTACTGCTACGAAAATGACGAAACCACATCCGATGCAGATCATGGCGTACATCCACAGGCTGATTTCGTTATCATCTTTGAAGAAATTTAAATAAAGAGAATAATATCAGTTTTACAATACGAGAGATAAAATAGATATTTGAACAAGCGTTGGAATTTAATTAAGTTTCGGAGTAAATGCGTATATGTCGATGAATTGTTTAAAGTAAATGGTCTAGAAAGTTAACTACGTTTAATTAATATTATAGCAATCGTGTAATTAAAGAGTTAGTACGCGAATAAAGCGCATTATATACAATTCTATATAATAGATACGAGTATCGTTTCCGTCTAATTTAAACGGGTTACAACATAAGCTTCTAGGGAATAAGTTATTCTACATTTCTGTAACTGTACACGTTTGTTAGATAATGCAACGAAACGTCTATTAAGAAAGCGCTTCGTCTACAGTAAAGATATCGTAAAAACCGGTAATAAAATTGGCCACGATTGAAAATTCGAAGTTACGACACTCGAGGGATGTTCGAATTTTTCCAAACGTTAACGAACAACTTCCGTTTTGTTAATGCTATTACCTACTTCTGACGGTGAAAATACTTTTTGTACATTCGGGGTTAATATACGCACATAATAAAGTAACATTTTCATCCGTTTTCTTAAGCTAAAGTTTCCAGCTGTAATAAAAGTTAGAGGCGAGAGAGTTACGCTCCGATTAAGAGTAGTAAACGCCAAATGATACTCTGTTGGGTGTGCCCGAACGTCATTAATGAGATGGGACAATCGGGATTCCCGAAATTCCGGAAAATCCTCGAAACGATCGAAGAGTTTCGATTCTCTCGTTTCGAATATTCCACATTTTCGAGAAGTGACAGATGGATTCGATTCTTTACCAATCGATTCAGCTCAAATATTCACTTTTTGAAAATTTTTGGTTGTATATTCTTTACATAAAGCCAAAATTCCGAATACATTTTCTGAAGCATTTACGAACATCAATTTTCTCGAATTCTTAGAAATTTAACAATTTATAATAAATAAGTAATAAAAAAAAGAAATAGTTTTTTTTTATCTTTTATTTTATTAATATATTAAAATAAATAAAACAAAGTAAATTATAAGTTCACTAAGTATTCTAGGTGTTCGAATATTCGAATTCGAGAAAAGTGATATCTTCCTATCTGTAGTATTTACCCTAGTATCATATATTTTTTGCTACATAATATACAGATTCCTATTCTCATCATGATTCCTTAGTCGCAATATTTCTGAGTTTGTCTGAATGGATCTACATATAGCTTAATTTTTTGCTAGATTACTCTGTACTACTTGAATTTTAGTATTGCTAACCAAACTACGAATGGAAAATGGAAAAATACGAGCACTTCACCTATTCAGTGGATTGATTTCTATTGATTTGCGAAGAGGATTCGAACCCGACATTTGAGAGAAGACGAAAGACTTTCAATAAATCGTTTAGAGACTCGTAGATCGAGTCTCTAAAAATTCTATTTTTCTGAGTTTCGAATACGTTTTCCTGTTTAAAGTTCGTTTCTCTCTTTTTAAATGACTTTCGAAGTGCTATTTTATTTACACTGAATTTAAAAAAAATAATTTTCCTATCAAACTTACATTAATTTACACGCTCTTTGGCCTCTATCATAAATTCTTCATAAATTTAATATTTATTGAAGATTGTTCGATAGGTGAAGGAAAGGAATGTTGTTACTTTCCTTCACTCAACTTTTATACTAAGTCATCGTTCGACCAGTTATAGAAAAAAAGTGAATTTTCCAACAGATATCGGCATAATTGTACAAATTATGTCGATATTCTCAGGAAATGCCAATACCAGGAAAGTGTTGATGACCCGTCGAGACATTTTTGAAAATAAACGTGAAAAAAATCACATAGAATAATTCGAAATTAAAGTAATATAATATAAATTATTATAATTGAATTAATGTTTCTAAGAAGGACGACAAACTTTAATTATAAACTATTTGTATACAATTATTTAAATATTAATTAAGAGTATGGAAAACAACTAAGTAAAATTAGTAACGTGTTTGAATACAGATAAATCTTATTGATTTTAAATATGTATGATCCGATTATATGAAGGAGTTCAAAGAAATATTTATATTAAATGTTCGTTATATTAAAACTGTGTAACGAATTTTAATGAAACTTTTACTTCGTATCGAGAATACATCAATAAAAAGTGAGGGAATTTTTATTATTTGTTTCTGTCGATCTGTTTCTGTATAAAATTACGTCAAAATTGGAAAAGAAAATTATTGATTTTTCGAGAAAGTAGTATCGAATTAATTTTAAAAACTTTGTTTTTCTTAACCAAAATTATATTCAATTTGCCTTTCAAGACAGAAACGCATCTTTTTTCAATGGATTTGTGCAAGGAGAATTAACTTATCTGAGAATTTTTGCACGCCCTAATTTCGTAAAAATTAATTAAAATTTACTTTGATCTTGTTATATAATATAACTGATAATTTTAATTATAATATAATATAGCGATACTGTTTTATAGATGTTAATTTATTCTCCTGTTTACCATTCTTCCAGCAGAAATGTTTAATTCTATCCCATAAAGTGTTAGGTAAACGTGAATATTTTCTTAATAAATTCGATAAAATATTTAAGTAAATCCTTCGTAGTCTCTTCTTGTCAATAATTCAAATGAAACATTTGTTTAAAACGCGATCCGATTACAAAAACACAAGTTTTCGAATATTTTCCTTAATTAATTCAAGGGTTCTTTACATCTTCTTAAGTCGACCACTTCTCAATCCTCATATTACCTATCGAGAAAAAATTCAGAAAATATTTCCGAATATTTTAAGCATCTCTAAATTTATACCAGACTATTGATTCTAATATTTCTCGTTTAAATATTAAATTAATTTCATAATTTAATAATAAGTTTAATTATAGTTTAATAAATATATTAAATGATTTTATAATTTTTGCATCTGTACAATTATATAAAAATGCATTAAATAAAAGAACATTTCCTTGTCAAAGTCTGTATTTTAGGAAGGAGACAAAAACGTTTCAGAACAAAATCATCCGCAATAAATTTTAATGCGGGTTAGAAAAAATCCTCGTATCTATATCAAAATTTAGAAGGGTTTTTCGGGTAAAAAGCTTTGACCGAGTCGTTTTTATAGTCGTCGAATACAGATACGGTGCCATATTTCCCAAAGGATATATTTTTGTTTAGTTTTGAAAATGTCTCTTCGATAACCCCTACAAACAACATCTTCAGGGAAAAAAGAAAAACTTCTTCTTCCTATTCCAAACAAGTTGCGTTTATATATATACACACAAAGTATATAAATTTTTATTTAAGAAAGAATAAACTTATTTATTTATATCTCTTTTTGTTTTTCGTTAACAATCTTCTTGTCTGCTTTGCAAGTTTTAGTATGTTATTATGGTATATAATCCGTGTTAGTGTTAAATATAATGTGTGAGACTGACACTACATATTCTAACTTTGCAATTTTTGAGCGAAATGGAGATCTTCATTACTCGGAAAGTTTTTTGTGATCGAACTTCAAACCAACCACACGACCATTAAACATGAATTTTTGCAAATGCAGTATGTTCTGAAATAATAGAGCCACTATGAAATAATGAAATTAATAACGGAATAAGAAGCAACTGATTCCCATTAAGACACAAAATGTTTTGGATAAATATATAGCTTAATATTGGATAAATTGATAAATATAGAGCTTCATATTTATCGTGTAATCAATCACTCCATGGCCCAATTGTCTAACTGGTATCCGATTTCCTGTTATTTTGCCACATAAATAGCCATTTCTTTCGGTGGTATGACAAATATAGCTTTTATCTCTAATCGTATTAATGCTGTAGGATGTCGCGGTATCTCGGTACTCGAACAATTCGGTATTCGAACACAAATTCTGGAAACGTCACTCGGTACTCAACTGGACAAACTAGAACAAATTTTCGATTAATAACATATTTTATTTCGTTGTTCATTTAATTATTTTATGATAAAAATAAAAAAATATGAAAATGTTGCCGATACTTCTGATCAAGATCAACAAAAATGTCGAGAAGACGACGATACTTTGTAAAAGGAAAATGCCCTGGTTAAACTAAAATGTGTGGTTGTTAATTAATGTCACATTAAAGTATTAATGAATATTATTAGGCCTAAATCACTCGATCATACGGTAAAAATAAACTAATTTTTAAATTTAAATATTTGAACGTTAGAAGCACGAATGTAGTGACGAAACTGAGCTTTGCGGCGTAGGTTTTACTGTTCAGGCTTGACACGAAAACACAAATGTCAAATAATGTCATTAGAACCAATGTGAAATAATGACATTAACTTAATACAGAAATAATAAGCACATTACGAAACAATAGAAGGGAATTGACTGTTGGTTTACTATATCATATAATAATAATTTTATCAAAAACAGTAATAAAATAAAAATATAAATGAATTTTAACAATATTGTATAGAAATATATGTACCATAATGATAAAACTCTTCAAAATTTGAATAAGTAATTTCATTTAGTATTAATAAGCAATATGTCCAATGCAATTTATTAATTATTCATAAATTCTATCTGGCATTGTTTTAATAAGATTTTTCTCTCAACATCTGTTATTTAGTGACAAGCATCACTTATTGACTTTTTTTATGATTTCACTGATGTATATTGCTTTCCATTCCTATACATTAATACTTTCCTTGCTAAGATACCAAATGTATTTTCTATAGGATTAATATCAGAACATGTGACCAGTCAATAACATGAAACCCATTTGCCAAAAACCAGTTCCAAGTTGATTTTGAATTATGAGTGGATGCATTATCATGTTGAAACTGAAAAAACTTCATCCCAATTTTTTCTATAAATGGCATTATGTGCATATCTCATATCTAGTACTTGCAGATTTCCTACAGCAGAGGTCTCCAAACTTTACAGAAGATGAGTCACATTACTAATTCTGCATATGCCGAAGGCTTGTCTTTGTGGCTCTTATTTAGAAGCAGAATTTATTTCATTTTCTCATTTTGTAATTAATAGACAATTCTGTATAATTTAATCAAAAATTTGCTTCTTGTCCTTATGTTGAAATCTAATATTATGAAGCTTCTATATTTGCTTCTAATCTGAGGGAGTTATTACACCTTTTGAGGAATGTTTTCAATTGTATACCAAGAGACTTTTTAACTGTTCTACTTTAAAACTGAAGAGGGACAGAACTGTCTAAATGCATAATTAATAAAGTAGAAGAGCTAAAAAAAATGATGGTCCAATTTAAAACATTCCCCAAAAGATTTGATAAGTCTTCAGATTACAAGCAAATACAAAAGCTTGATAACAATAAAACTCTGTATACTGTTGAGTCTGACAAATTTATAGCTACATGAGATGCAATTTGCCTCAGACTAATTATAGAACTGCTAAGTTTCCTGCAAATTATTTTTGATGGAAATTCAGTGCAGAGTGTCTTCCAGATAGCATTTTGTTCCATATTCATCATTAGAATTAATGTAATTTTTCACAAAATAATGTATAACTTCAGTCAACTAAGCTGTTTTGTGATGTTTAGGTTATAATTTTTCCAATTAAATTTAAAAAAATCCAAATTTGTCTTTCTTACCTACTTTAAACATTTCAATAATTTACCTGTTATATGTATAGCTCTAGCCAATGTTAATATTAATACTTTATTCAATTCTTCAGACTCTCCCGATAAAAGTGGTTTGGGTTCTGTTTGAAATCTTGATAACTGTGGTTGTACTTCTGCACTACCTAATCCTGCAATCAATTTAAGGGCAGTGCTTTCAACACTAAAATAATGAATATAAAGAATTAATAATAAATAATAAATATTTATAATAATAGATGTAAATTTAAGTTATACCATAAATGTAATTGAGTTTGGTTAGTCTGAGGCACAGCAGCCATACTATGGAGGTGACTTAATAACTGTACTCTATAGTGAGGCTGAATGTGGTGCAGACGATAACTAAACATCTCTAACAATGTGTGGAGGATACCCCATGCTTGACTACGAAATATATTAGGAAGTAAATGACCTATAAAAGTTTAAACATTTAAATCAAAATAAAATAAATTTTATATAAATAAAATATGATTAATAATAATGAACACACACAATTTATATAACTCAGAACAACATATGAAATAAAATGTTTGTAATAAATATAAATATCCAAAATTTTTATCAAGAGTTTATTAACAGTTATGTCTTACCAAGAAAAGGCTTATTTAAACTTAAGTCTTTTCTTGATAAGACATAACTGTTTTATGTCTGTAGATGTGAGCTATAAAAAGAAAAGCTGTTTATATTTTTCACTTATATATTGAATAATTCTTTATCATGTTTATATTTAAAAGTAAAATCATACTTATTAAATAATGTACTTAGGCTGAGCTGAGAATGAACAGCTCTCTTTAAAATTAATAAAAAATTATGTCTTTACAATATGAGAAAGCTTATCTTTCACTGAACAGGTATAATTTATAGATTATACTATTAATATTGTTGTGCCGGCTTCAGAGGAGACTAGCACCAAGGTGTGGAGAGTGGCAAAACGAAAAAAAATGATTCAAGAAAAGAAGAATGATTCGGAAGAAAAAGAACAATTCGAAAAAAGAACATTGGAGAAGTCTTTCTTTTAACGAGAGCTATAAAGATTTTGTTGTTAGTATATCTAAAAAGTGTCAGTTTTGGTGAACTGTATTCTGAATTTATATCCCGAGCCCCACAGCTCGTAACAAATTGGTGTCAGGAGTGTGATATGAATCATGCCGGTTATGCCGAAAGAAGACATTGAAGGGATTTGTACACGAAGCCAACAGCAACAGCAGCAGGCGATGGATCAGCGGCGTTCTGGTGAATCTTCCGATGGACATTAGATGGTCAGCAAACAACTGACTCTTGTTTCAATTGCCTGCACTTAACTCATGCTGATCGGCGTTTCATGTGCTGCGGGATTCCATTTAGCTTTCTGAGCATTTTTGCTACAGTCTTCGAAATAGTCTTAAGCCCTGATTGTTATGCGATTACTCCATGTAGTCTTGTTATATTAATTTAATATTCTCGTGGTGTTGGTAATATTAATTGGCGCCGACTGGCATTTTTGTGTTCACCGTGTTACAAATTGGACTGTCAGCTCACGAACTCACCAGACGGTTTAGTGCATATGCCAGCAATTTTACTTGACTTTATCTTCTACTCATCTCTCTCACTGCACCATCAGACTACCAAGTCTATAGTGCAGGACTGCTTTGACAACCAAGCCACACTTTACTATCATCAACCACGCTTATCATGTCAACTATCAACATTATTGAGGAATTCAGAAATGAATCCTTCAAGGCACTGGATAAACTCAAAAACTACTGCGTCAGTAACTATAACTGCAAGCTTGGTGCCAAGGAATCCGTGCGCCAAATGACTAAACAATTCACGAAAGTCATAGATATGGCCACCCGTATATTTAAAACCAACTGTCTGCCAGAGTCTCTTGAACAGAGACTGGCTGATATACCTACCAAGGATGACCTAATAAAAACAATTAACCCTGAAAACATACGTGATGTTCAACAAACCATTCTGAAAAGATTGGATGAGATTGAAAACAAAGCGACTAGAAATACACCTTCCGCTCCTCTCTATAGCTCTGTTGTGAAGATGAGTGGCCAATCAGGAGGATGCTGTATGGGTCCAAAATCTACCCCTCAAAAAGAAGTCATTCTTGTCTACAGTAAAAACAAAGATAATAGCAACAGTGACAATGTCAGCAAACTTATGCAAACCAAGATTAAGCCTTCAGACCTACATATAGGCATAGATAGAATTTGTAAGATTGGAGGAGAAGGAATAGCCGTCGAACTGGGCTGTTGCAAAGACACAGAATTATTGGGGAAAAATATTGAGGAAAAAATCCCGGAACTGGTTACTTGTAAACCAAAAAAGAGATGGCCACATATGTTCATCTACTCTGTACACTCTGACACTCAGAAGGAAAATCTACCTACCCAGATATACACTCAGAATAATCTGATAAGTGAAAAGCTTACTACAGAAGAGTTTGCGGAGCAATTCCACATTAAATTCCAACTTGGTAAAAAAGAGACCACTTATAAAAACTGGGTTGTGGAAGTGTCCCCATCCATAAGGAAGGCGCTTATCGGCCTAGGAAAAGTTAATATCGAATGGTCGCACTGTAGGATTGCAGACTTCTGTCCAGCCCTACAGTGCTTCAAATGCTGCAAATTCCACCATTCTGCAAAGGACTGCCCACAATCCTCCTACACTTGCAGCCAATTTATGGGGGATCATCCCTACAGGGACTGCCCCAACTGTGAAAAGGAACCTGACTGTTGTAATTGTCATCAGAACAAGATGCAGAACTGCAAGCATAATGCACGTGATAGCTCTTGCCCTACTTATCAGTATATTAAAACTCTTATTAACTCCAGAATAGACTATGGATCAGAGACACAATAATAAAGTACGTATTCTGCAGTGCAATCTAGAGAGGTGCATTGCTGCCACCTCTCTACTTAATAAGCATCTTACTAATTACGACCTGATACTGGTGCAAGAGCCATACTGCCAAAAGGACATCNTATAAAATTAACATATTACTTTAAAACCCATATTTTTATTATGAATTGCATCAAAACTATTAAGTAATTATTATTTTTATCATAAGAATGACATGCCTACCTTTAGACATATTATTTAGTATTTAATTACATAGCCATGTTAAAGCCCAATAATTTGGCAGTTTATTTGGCTTTACCATAATCATCCAAAACACTTCATATGTTGATGAAAATAAATACAGTAGATCCCCCTATAAGACGGTAGATACGTTCCGTTCTTTATGAATCAATTTTGTAGGAATCATAGTTTACGGACTACGGATGTTTGAAAGGTTTTCTTTCATANACCAAAAAAGAGATGGCCACATATGTTCATCTACTCTGTACACTCTGACACTCAGAAGGAAAATCTACCTACCCAGATATACACTCAGAATAATCTGATAAGTGAAAAGCTTACTACAGAAGAGTTTGCGGAGCAATTCCACATTAAATTCCAACTTGGTAAAAAAGAGACCACTTATAAAAACTGGGTTGTGGAAGTGTCCCCATCCATAAGGAAGGCGCTTATCGGCCTAGGAAAAGTTAATATCGAATGGTCGCACTGTAGGATTGCAGACTTCTGTCCAGCCCTACAGTGCTTCAAATGCTGCAAATTCCACCATTCTGCAAAGGACTGCCCACAATCCTCCTACACTTGCAGCCAATTTATGGGGGATCATCCCTACAGGGACTGCCCCAACTGTGAAAAGGAACCTGACTGTTGTAATTGTCATCAGAACAAGATGCAGAACTGCAAGCATAATGCACGTGATAGCTCTTGCCCTACTTATCAGTATATTAAAACTCTTATTAACTCCAGAATAGACTATGGATCAGAGACACAATAATAAAGTACGTATTCTGCAGTGCAATCTAGAGAGGTGCATTGCTGCCACCTCTCTACTTAATAAGCATCTTACTAATTACGACCTGATACTGGTGCAAGAGCCATACTGCCAAAAGGACATCTCTGCATGTCTTCCCACCTTCTGCCCAATCCTGCGGGGCACTGATCATTTCCCATGGGCTATTACGCTCATTGCTAATACCAAGCTTTTTGTTCTTCATCAAACTAAATACAGTAACCAATTCCTCATCACCACTGAAGTCATGAACCATGATACAAGAGTTATCATCTTAAATGTTTACTTCCCTGGCAGTGCTGATTGTGAGGGCTTCCTCGACGACCTGCAAAGTATTATACACAAGTTCCAAGGGACACACATCATCATGGCCGGTGACTTTAATGCCCATTCCCCTGCGTGGGGTGGTGACTGCCTCGACAGACGTGGCAGCCTTCTTGAGGAATTCTTTGCTCATAATGACTTGTTAATACTGAACAACCCTTTCTCACCCCCAACCTACAGTTCGCAAAGTGGCAAGTCGTGGATTGATGTGACCACCATCAGCTCTAGTCTCTACACAAGTATCACTAACTGGAGGGTCCTTCCAGATGAAATCTTAAGTGATCATGCTTATATAGCTTATGATTTAACAAACTCCGCGGACGACTGTGTCATCAACTATGTTCCATGATTCAGATATGCACATAATAGAGCCAACTGGGATAATATAAAGACATACCTTGAAAGTCACCTAATTACTCATTACTCTGAGAATTACACTGATGTCAAGAAGCAGATAGACCATAATATACAAATTATAATCAGTGTGTGCAAGAAGCACATACCAAAAAGAATATCAACTAGAAAAGGCATCCCTTGGTAGACACCTGACCTCAGTGACCTACGTCACACTACAAGAAAATTAAGGACAACTTACCAAAGATGTAGAAACAATGATATCAGAAGCCAGCACAGAGAGGCCTATCTCAACAGTCAGAAACTTTACAAACAAACTATTAAAGCTGAAAAGACGTGCAGCTGGTGCGAGTTCTGTACAAGCACATTTGACAACCCATGGGGTTTTATCACAAAAATGTGCAGCAACAGACTACGAAAGACAAAAATCATGACTGATCACAATGCTGGTGATGAACCCACCACTCTCTTACAAGCCATGCCCTCTCAGCTTGATTTCTTCTGTCATGAGGACAACCCGAGCCTAGACACGGAATGGCAGAAACAAATTCGCCTGGAAGCAGACACTCTGAAGGATACTGATGATATACTACCATTCACCACTAAGGAGATAAACAGAGCCTTCCAAACTCTGGGACGACACAAAGCACCCGGCCCGGATGAAATTACATCTGAAATTGCTATCAACCTATGGAATCTCATCCCCACACACCTCACAAATCTATACAACTGGTACATCACGCAATCTTTGATATTCACGCTTGTATACATTCAATCAACTATAATGTATGATGTTTGCTTTCGGGCTTCCTAACGCATATTACGTTATATAAAAATATTTGTGATGGCTCTAAAGGCAGCCTTCTTTGATGTAT